TTTTCTCCATCGTATATTTTTAGCGCCTTTGTCAAAGACAAATTGGTTATAGTTGTGTTGCTTCATATCCGGGTCCTCTATTCTGTGCTGACTCTGTTTTCAATTGTTTTTCTTTCTCTTTCTTGGTACTAGAGGGTTGAATGAGGGCCTCATGCTAGTTAGGCAGGTGGGTGCTCTATCCCTTGACCTGTGCTTCCAGTCTTTTTTCACTTGTTATTTTTCTAATAGGGTCTGGTGTTTATACTTGGACTGGCCTGGACTGTGATCCTATTTAAGCTTTCTGCTGGTTACGATGACAGGCACGGACCACCACGCCCAGATTTTTAGTGGTGGAGGTGGGGATCAAGTAAACTTTTCACCTGAACAGGACTTGGGTTGAAATCCTCCTGATCCTGGTGTCCTGAATAGCTGGGATTACAGGCACAAGCCACTGTGCACAGCTTAATTATTTCTTACTTCTTGGTGTAATCTTCCTCCAGGAAAGATCTATGCTTTGTAATACCCTGTATTAATGGTACTTTGGGGGTCAAAAGGAGAGCTGTGTATACAACTGAGGGTGAGGTGGGATAAAGAAAGGGAACATGGTGAGAGGAAGAAATTTGAGTTGGCATCGAGATTTAGGATCAAAAAGTGTCAAGGGATCATCGAAAAGGTGTAAACACCTTCCTTAGAGTTCTTGAAATTGTTCATTAGGGTTCTGAGCCTTTACAGTATATATTTAGAATTTATATTTGAATGTTAAGGGCAGAAAAATTTAGGACCAATCAGGTGTCAGAGACACTACTTCACAGGGTTGGGGTTTCAAATGAAACAGGTGAAAGTATTTAAAAAGCTAAGGAAATATATTATCCTGCAGCTAAATTATTTTTCCATGGAAAATTTAAAAAAAAATAATTCAGATTTGAATTCAATACTGATCACAAACATGAGAATAATTATCTGGAAGGTTTCTATGAATTACTCAGTTCAAACTAATAGTTAAAACAGAATTTAGTTGAGATAAAGTTTTTTTTTTTTAAATGACTGGATGTGATCCAAACATGTCATATTAAGACATACAGATTTAGGACCAATTTAGTAGGAACAAAAAGTAGCTTTTGGTCATGAAGAGTCAGCTGAGATTGTAGACAGGTACAAGAAAAAGGAAATGGCCATTTTGCAAAGGAATGGGAAATAATACGAACTGAATATATAAACATACATTAGACCCTTGGCATCTATCACTTTCCTCCTACCACCCATAGAAGTAAGTGGAAGTATCGCTACCCTTTGGAAGAGGGAAACTGAAATTTGAAATGATAAATGTCTTAAAGTCATAACATGCACGTGGTTGAGCTAGCATTAAGATTCTTGTCAATGTCAAGGGGCTCCTTGTCCATTTCATGCCATTCTTGTTGGAATGCTTCCAACAAGACTTTGTAAGATGCTATAGGAGAGAAGTATGTTAAAAAAAAAAAAAAAGAGTGAACAGATTAAATTCCTGGATTGTATGAAGTTCCACTGACATGGGACCAAACTTTTTTTTTTTTGGTGGGTAATTACAAAAATGCTGGCAAATTCTTTCCATTAGTGATTCTTGCACGCTGCATGATCTTCTTCTGTTGTGGGACTCTTTTTGTTTTTGTTCAGAATTCACCTTAGGGGTTTTCTCAAAGTCTGCATTCTTACTCGGTGGTGGTTTTTAGCTTTCTTTTTTCTTCCCAGGCTGGGTGGATGATGCAGTTTCACTTCTGGGTGTTAGGATTCTCTTTCACACTGGCTTGTCATGACCTTAAAGTATTTTAAGTTTCTTCCTTGGTAATTGTTCGTTCAAGTCATACTCCAGTAAGCTAGAGAATCTGTTTTACTGAATGAATTTAAAATACCAGCAACTGGAGAGTTTCACAGGCGTTGTCTCAGTGCATCAAATATAAAATCCTGCCAGTCATTTACCTTTTTATTTTCTTCATTTTGGTAGGTTTTTGGGTCCAGATTTGAGGTTTTACTTTTGAATTGGCCTTTAGGCTGCAAGGTCACTAAACATAGTATACAGTACTAAAGGTGGAAAAATGTTTATGATCAGAATAGTCTTAATTACAATAGTTGTCACAGCTCTCTACCGTCAGGTAATTGATGAGGCCTAAGTCATTTTGCATTGCAACCACCCACAAAAACCACACACATGGCGTTTTACTAAAAACTTAACTTTAACCACTACTTTGTGATGCAAAACCAGTGGAATTTTGGGTACTTTCTGTAAAATCGAAATCAGTATGGGGGTTTTCCGACATTCTAGTTGATTGTTAACAAATTATTAGTGTAATGAAGAAGAGCAGAGTGGAGTTGGCTGATAGACACTCTCCTCTCTGTTAGGTATCTCTCCATCCATTCCTCCACCCATATTCCTGAATAGTTTCCCTTGGTGGGAGCCATCTTGATTGGGTTGAGAACAATTCTCCTTTAGATAAAAAATGCAGCTCAAAAATGCAGCTCAGTAAGAGTATTTATATATATGAGATTTATAGTTGTAAAGAGAGATTTTAGGAGTTCACTTCTTATCTTTGCCCACAGAGTTTTCAGTCTTGACAAAGTATTGATGTTGAATACTTTCTAATTTGTAGATTTCTCTTCTGGAAGAGATTTGAAAAGCAATGCAAATCAGTTTGTGTTATTGCAAAGGCAGGGATGAGGGAGAACTGCTTCCTCCATCGCTGAGGAGATGCTAGAGCCCCTGTGCTGGAACACAGCTCCTGCAAAGAGCTCAGCTCTGTATTGGGTTAAGTCAGGAGATAGTTGTTTATTTTGGAGTTGAGTCCTTGGACCAGTTACCTCTTTAGAGCTCAGTGTCTTATCTTTAAAATAAGTTTCATCCCTGTTGTCTGGTTTGGAAGACAAGCACATACTATCTTTAGAACCTTCAATAGAAGTCCACTGTTGTATTCTTATATAAAGGTGACTTTTATTGTCATATAATCCAAGTTTCTCAACAAGCACTAATTTTTTTAAAACCATGTAGAAATACTGCTTTAGTAAAACACCAACTCTGCTTCTGTAAGTATATAGTTATGCTTCTGGCATTTTAAAAAATTTCCTTCATGAGGCTCAGAAGTCAGACTTAGAGTCTCCTGATTAGCCTTAAAATAACAAACTTTCAGGCTGTTTCCCATTCATACTTTATCTAAAGCACCTAGAAGAGAATTAAAAATCTAGAACTGAGTTTTTAGCAGGTTTAATTCCTTACTCTACTATAACGACCTTGATAATGTCCCACTACCATCTAAGTAAAGCTTTGTTTGGTTTGCTGTGAGTTGCTGATGAACTCCCCACAAATAAATGATGCTTGCTTTATTACTCATGTTAGGAGCTACTCATTTGAACAGAGCGAAATAGCAGGTTTTATTGAAGTAAAGCCAAGTACAACCAAATATTTTAAAAAATGGCCAAATGAACAAAGAATAAGGAATATGAATTTAGAAGCAGCCCAAGTACATTAAAAAAAACTTGAAAATGAGATAAAATCAGTTTTATAGGTGCACATTAGGAGGGGTAGAAATAGATACAGCTGTAAGAAAAATAAAGTGCATAGGATGTAATGTTTAGAGCATCAGGGCTACAACAGACCAGGAGTGGAAGGTTTATTTGTGGGGACAAAGGTTTACAACTACACATTTTTAGGGACAGAAGTAGAAAAGGGTAAGATACCATAAATGTTACAGAAGTGGAATGGAATTTCCCAGTCAACTCTGATTTAACAAATGCTTTACTTAAGGAAATTGGTTAAAGCTTGAAACTTGAATTAAATAAACAAAGCCACAATGGATTCCCTGTACCACCATACTTGATCCTTAGCCTGATAACTCCTTCATCTGGGTAGGTAACTTTGAGGGTGACCTGGGTCTTGATCCCTGAAATAGAGGTGTTGGAAGGTGGTATGTAGAAAAAGCAGGCAGAATCACAGTCACTCAAAGGCCACAAGAACTTTTCCTTCAGATTCTGTGTTTTAGTGCAGTAAGCTTTGGTATTGACAGCCGTACTCCCAGGGTAGGACCTGCTGCGTGTAGGGTGGAGTGGCATTCCAATTTCAATTATTTTCTGCTGAAGCTGGCAAATTGAATGCAGATTTATATCTTCAGTGACAGGACTTAGATGAAACATGACAAACCTGTAAAAGCTGCCACCTAAACATGTCAATGCAGAACCTCCCATTGAACTGGATGGAACTTGGGAGACAAAGCACACACACTGCCACATCGTGTTGGGCAGCCTGCGAGATCAAAGAGAAAACGCAGGGGAGGAGCAAGTCCTTGCTGGCTATCGTGTGTGCTGTGGGGTTGAGCCATTTTGGTTTTAGAGAAAAGCACGTTATCTCTCTTGGACTTGCCTGGTGATGGAAAAATTTTATACAGCTACGCCACACTGACTGGGAAAATAGTTTTTTAGTTATTGAAATTATAAAGTAGAAGCATTATTTATGAAATTACTCATTTTATGGGAGTTTAATCCTGACCCGGTTCCCAATGCAGGGTGCGAAAGATTCCTTCTTACCAAAGCATAGAGAAAATAAGCATCAAAAGGAACAATCACAGTGAGTATAGAGGAAGGAGTAAGTTTTTCTACATTTGGATAGAAGAGTTAACTTTGTAAAAACATTTTAAACCATCTCCTATAGGACCCTGACTATGCGGTGTGGACTAAAACTTCAACTTTTGGTTTCACTAGGTGGGAGTGTCACTAACTTAAAGACCCCAGCAATAGCCCAGGAGATGCACTGAGCTGAACACCCCGGCACGCCAGGGTACCTGTGACATCCTTTTAGGCCCTCACTAATCTAGATAGATTAATGTTGTATTGAGTACCCTCTAGTATTTGTTCTAGTGGTTTTTCTGAGAGTTACGACTTTTTTTTTAAGCCAGTTCAGCATTTTGTGAATTAACCAAACCAGTTGTACAAAAGTATATAATTGGAATAGCTGTTAAATCACAAAGAAATGTCAAATGAAAGCCCGTAGTCAGTCTCTGTATATTATTCTGCATCATTTATTAAATATTTATATATGCATTTACAAACGACTCATTTCAGAACTCTGCTTTCGATACATTTTTAAACATTTTTGCAGAGAGATTCTCTAGTAAAATGAGACCCATGTACAAAACTAGGCAACAGGTATAAAAGTTTCCTTTCATACTTTTCATCCATCCAGAAAAGAATTCATGTGACAAAGTAAAGCCAAAACGTGTCTCTTTATGATACCATGTCAGTGGTCAATTCATATTTCATCTTTACACGGATGTATACAGTTTTAGTACTTCTTAGCTACTGTGGTAGGTTGGTTTGGATGTTTGAAGGAAAATAAAATAACTACCGTTTGGAGTAAGCTAGAATCCATCAATTACTCATTTCTTTGTAACGTGACATCAAAATTCACTCAGGAGATGACACTGATTGGCCGGCAATACTTGATTATCCCAAACATTGCATAAAAATTTCCTTTAAAAAAATTCATTAACTGCTTCACAAGCTAAAGTGTGAGTCTCTAACATTCTCTTACTTAAAGAAATAGTTTAAATGATTGATTTAGAAGCTTAAAAGTATCCTTGAAACTAAACTTGCTGTTCCTAAAATGAATGCTGATTTAACAGTTCGTAGACCGGAGCATTATTACTGAGACAGAGGCACTAATGCCGCTAGCAACGAGAAACAGCGTCATCATCAAATAATTACATGATACAAAATGCCCAGGGGCCTGAAACTCACCAGTAATATAATTCTGGCAGCAGCATCATTTGATATTTAACCATTTATTACACAGTATTAACACACCAGCTTCAAAAATGTGCACTCCCTTTAGGATACTCAGGAGTTACAAATTTACTGTGATTGCATAATTCGTATTGCACAGTTTTATAAAAAACATAAATACTGGCTATTCTAGTTTTAAATACAAAATACATGTTATATACTTTTTAAATCTATAATCTGGTTCAAGTGCAAATCAGGTGCTTTCTTTAGTCCTTCCAAAAAAGGCATTTTTAATATTTTTGGCACAAATGAAAAGTCATCATGCCAACAAATCTAATTACAATACATGTACCCAAACCTTTAAAGTAGCAATGATATACATACAGTATAAAACTGAGTATTTACAAATGTACTAAGCATAAATGTAATCTTAGTGGGAGAATCAGAACTAATTAGCCATACCCACACTAATAATAATTAGAAAAGGTAAATACATTCCTCTCTCTCACTTGCTTATGCTGGTTGCTGTGGGTTGACATTCATGTGAGGAGGATGTCCTAGAAGACCAATTCTTTGTTTCTGCTTCCTTTGTTCTGTCATCTGGAAAGTTAAAAAGTTTCATCATTAGACATTTCCTGTGCGTCAGATCATACACTGAACCATAGATTTACCTCTGTGGTTACGGTTTATACTGAAACCCACTTTCTACAAATAGCGTACTGTCACCATATCAAACATACAGAACTTCAAAAAGGGAATCTTCCTAAGCAGAATGGGGAATTCTGTGGACCTAGTCATGCAATGTAACATTCAGTACTGCTTGCTACTTGTTTCATAAAGAAACAAAAAACAGGAAAAGCACAAGATTCTTGACTGTGTCCCCAAACCATTTCCAAATGATTTAAAGACTCATTGGAAAATGGTGGCTGAGGGTGATAGCAAGAACACGCCATACTACCCAGAAAGCTGTGGATTTAGAATCCTAGGACTAAGATGGTGCCCATGATTCCTGACAGCTGGTTAGAGAGATAAAAAGTTACCTGAGCCATCTAGGAAGGTGAGAAATGCCCTCATATCTTCCTGAGGCCAGAATGATAAATAGTATAAACAATGCTCTGGCCACCAGCGGCCTCTATTCCTTGCTACCAATGGAGACTGCATTCTGCATAACGTCAGGAGGGACCACTTCTTAAGACAGGCCCCCATGAAAAAGTGCTTTCACAACCTAAAGCCAAGAGGGTTTTTAGTTTTTGTTTTTGTTTTACTGTTGAACTAAACATGTTCTTATGTTGAATTTCTATCTCTATTCCATACCTAATCTTCTGCATTAGTATTTGTCTTCATCCAGTTAGTCCTAGCTCTGAATTGGAGGCTGGCATTTAAGCTGATTAAGATAAAAAGGCATGTGAAGCATATATTGGATGAAACTGTTGTATGCAAGTTGCTTAAGGTACCACTTCTAGATTTTTGGTTTCCAAAACAGAGAGGGTAGAGCAGCAAAAAGAATGGAGGCTTGGAATCTGATAGAACTCTTTCGTTATGGCTTGTGCTTAACTTCTGCAAGTTTGTTTCTTCATCAGTCAGGATGATAATTCCTGTCTCATAAGTGTAACACTGAGAGGTTGTATGTAAATGTCTTAGTACCGTATCACAAAACCTCGGGTTTTCATTGGAACTAATTTTTGGTACAAATTAGCGTGCAAGAACATAAAACCAGAGTAAGTTATTTAAAGTGGTTATTTTTTTTCCCAAAACATAGCACTTATCCCTTCAAGTTAAGATACTATTTTTAAGCTCCTGTGGAAATTCTTGGTTGTAACTTAGATGAAAAAAGATTTATAAGGACTGAATATTTCCAAAAGAAAGCTTTTAATGAAGCTTGTTATAAGGAATTGACTGAAGAGATTATAGTTAGCCTCCAAAGTTTCCTTGGGTGAGTCCACTCTGGCTTATTCTCAGATTGTTTCAGGTTTTATTAGCTCCATCCTAACCAACTATTCACACATACTATTACCTGTTTAAAAAAATATAACAAACAAAGTCTATCCTTAGTATCATCTCCCATAAGCATTCTTTTTGGACATCTGAAACAGTAATGGTCTCTTGATAAAAATATTCATCAGAGTCACATCTAAAGTAACTGTATTCAAAATTCAACACTGAAACTTCTATTTTGAGCAGTGTGAAATGTCTCGGTTGCAGTACATCTAAAATCCTCAGCATTCCCATTTAGCTGAGGACGGACTGTTGAAGCGATGCTCTTCTTCCTAGCTACACAAATATAGAAACCAGCTTGAATGTGTGCATGCTCCTTTTGACTCCAGTCTGAACAAGAAGCAAAGAATATTGTAGCTTTACAAATCAGATGCAGCCAAACATCTGAAAGATCTTGCATGAAAACACTAGGCGTTGGGCACAAATGAGCAAACTTGAGTCTACTAGCTCTGCCTCTAAGGGATTAAAGGCTGGCACAGAAAGGAAGGCTCATGGACAGCACACACACACCACAGTTGGTTTTCACAGATCTTACCGGTTTTTGAAAAGCTGCTTTCAAGTCCCACACAGTAAGATCCTGGTTATTCACAGTCTAAACAGCCAGCAAACTCTAGTAATCAGAATTACTTTTAAAGGCCTGTAAAGTCAGTTTTGATCAGAAATGATGATCCCAAAATACTGAGAAGTAAAACCAAAGTATCTCTTGAGTACAATGAGATACTGATTTAATATAAACACACAGAAAGGATTTGGATTCTTACAGCTGCTCCCTAATGTCTTAGTCCTTTCTATTGTACCTGGCAAACTTTCTCAAGCCTGGAAACCAAGCTCCAGCATTAGCACCCGGGAAGGTTGTGGGGTAATGACTTGAATCCTCTCCCTATACTCATTCTGAGGGTGCCACAACCCTCTTCTTCATTCTCATCACAGCCTGTTCACACCTCTCTACCAGACTGCCTCTGTGGAATTCATCTGTTTTCTTATTTGTCTCCCAGTCGAGATTATTAGCTGTAGAAGGCAGACTAGGTCTTCATCTCTGTACCCTGATACTTAGTGCTGCACCTGGCAAAACACGTGGTTCACAGCTGTCGGCTGAAAGAGGGTTAACCAGATCACAGTGCCATTCCTTGAGCATGCCACACACTGTCATGCCTTTGTTCAGGCCCATTCCTCTCCTGGGAAGCCCCTTCTGCACTTCTCTGCCAACTGCTTGTAAGATTATACAAGATATGTTCCTTCCTCACTCCAGGCTTTGCACTGGACCAACTACCTAGTTCTCTGCTCTCTGTGGAAGTTTACCCATGCCTTCTTTGTCTCGTTAATTATGGCATCCCAAAGGGTAGACATTGCCTTTTTCCCCTTCTGTGGCCCCACCGCAGTGTAAAGAACATAAACGATATTCATTCAGTAAGGTCTGTTCAATATTCCAGTCTTTTGTTACTCTTTCCTTCCTTAAGCAGTTAATGTGATAATGCTCTTGCATGAAAAATGCAATATGCTAATATCATCAGGATTTTCAAGCACATCTTATTTTCCTGGCAACAACAGAGAAGGGTCACTGTCCTAGAGGAAGCCAGTCACATTTTCAAGAAAGTTAACCCTTTGTTCAGTATTTGCTCTTTTGGATTATGAAGAAAATATGCAAAAAAATATGAAGTTCTTACATTAGTACTCCTCCTTGGAATAGGATGTAAGAGAATCACATTTAGTGTTCAGAATCTCTTGGGAGGGAAAACTTGAAGATGCATCATTAATACTTGAAATAGTAACCCTGACCAACAAGTGACACCACGAACCATGTTTTTACTAATACCCTTACAAGAACTTTTCCTCCCCCAATTGGTAGTTTAAGAAAACAACCACCAAAGACCTCAGTAACAGTAGAGATTAAAACCACAGTCATCCATGCTTAAACTGTCATTGTTCTACTACTGGTTTCTAGATCAGAAAAATCTACCAAATATCTAAGTAATGAAGCAATTTTTGTGTTTTCCAGCATTTTTACCATTGAATGGTATTCTTTCATAGTTGTTTTTAAAAACATGACAGTTTTTTGTCTTAATCATTTGTGGGAATTTTTGTTTTTTTTTAATTCAGTTTTTCCCTTTATAGAAAAGGAATTTTCACAATTACTGTTTTAGAACCAGCATTTCTCTAACATATCTTCTTATGCATAACTATTTAAGAAATCTTTGTGATTCTTCTAACACCAGGCTTAATGAAATTCAGATCTATTCAACAAGTTGATTCCTAAACAAATGCATTACAAGTTTGTTGTGGAAATTATATAATCAAAAGAAAGCTCTGACTAGCTCCTTGTGAGCAGAAGCAACCCTACCTTGCACTCCCCCAAAAGCAGCTCTAGTGTACTTTCCCTCGAATGCTGGGCACTTTAGAACTTAAGCACACCAATCCTGGTAAAAGTACTTGAAAATGGACTACTAGTTTTTTATATTTCTTTGTAGCTTATAACACCTTCCGGGAAAAAAAAAATGGTTCAATTTCAAAATCATTTACGGGGAAAGGGCTTTCTGAAGAGTGGTTCCAATTGCCATTCATAACAAGAAAATGTAAACAGGGCTGGGACAGAGCACTTTAAGCGATACTGGTTCTAATGTCATCTTAGTCCATATTTAACTAAATTTTTTTTAAGCTAAAACATAGGAATAATTCTACCTTGAGTTTTATAAATGCCAAGTCTCTAGTATGCTCAGTTGTGAATATATCCCCCATTCTGTTTAAATGCATCATGTGACTTTTGAAGGAAAATGACTAAGAATTTAAACCATCATGAAAGGCAAATAGTACAGGGACGAAACAAATCAAAGCAAACGATACACACCACACAAAAAGAAACCTACATGGGGCTAGGGACTCCTGCCCTGGCACCATCATGAGAAGCTGGGTCTGTTTCCTAAGAAAACTCCTTCTTAAACTCGTCAATACCGCGAGGGAACTGAGTGAGATGACACTTGCAGTCTTGGCTATCCTCTAACACCTGTGATTCCTTCTGCATTTCCTCTGCTTGGCTCACTCCTTGGATAAGGTTCACTGGTTTGCAAAATGGGCCTTGAGGCAGCTTCAGAAGCAACTGAAAACAAGACTCAGCACTGCAAGGATAGGGATTTCAACAGAGCCTGGAGGGAAGGCTTGCTTGGTTTTACCCCCCCAGAATACCCCCAAATACAGTAAGTTGTGCTTTGGACATATTTTGAGACTCTAGTAAACTGGAAACACCCAATTGCTCATCTTAACAGAGACACACCCCTAAAGAGCTTCCAAAAGTGCTAACGAGTGAGCGAGAACGAGTGTTGGCTGCCGTGGCAGTGGAGAGCTAGGATGCCTCATCGGCTCAGTTCTGGTACTGTGCCTGGTACTGCAGGTCTGAAGCATAGATGATTTGTTTCTCTGAAAAACTGGCACCAGACTTTATGGCAATCCAAAGAGCTCCTTTGTTTAAGTCTGTCTTAAGTCAGAATCTTAAGATTTTTTGGCACCTAATTTAAAACATCTGATTTAACTGAGCCTCTTGACACCACAGCTCTCTGAAATGGGAGCAGATCCCTAAAGCTTTCGATGGGCATGAAGTTCCCCTAGCTCTTGGGTCCTAATGGACATAGGGAGCTAAGGCAGATGAGATACTCATGAACCAGTTTGGTCCTGTGGAAATTTGTCAAATGTTTCTCAGCAGGACACAAAAGTTAATGAGCAGAGAAATCTCACTAGATCTTCATTAGTTTTACTTATGTAGGTTATTATTTGTTTTAGGTGGCTACCAAGCTCTCATCAACAAGGCCTTCTCTTCTCATTGGCATCTCAGCACATGTGATAAGGGAAGAACTTGAGGCCAAATGGTATCTTAGGGCATAGTTAGGAATAATTTAGTTGGAAAATATAATTCAAAGCAGGGTTTAATAAAAATGCTCTGTAAACCACCTCCAAGAAGAGTTTACTGTAGATAAGGTCTTCATTAATTACGATGTGTATAAGAGTAGTAAGTCACCCATGGGTACAACTTACCTCCAGCGCGGGCTTGCCTGGTACCCATTGCTTATAAAATTTATAATCTTGTCTATGGAGTGGATTAAACAGCTTTCAGAAACTCATGTAAAATGCTGAGTTGGATGCTGAATTGGAGCCATCTGTACATAATGAGTGCAGTCTGCTCACCATCCCAGGTTCAAATCCTGACACAGAGCTGCATCCTATCTCTAGGTAACCACCTGATGACTGTGGTATGCTCATTTTAGGGTATTGAAGGGAGAAAAATGCATGGGGTTTGGTATAAATCTGTTCACCCTCCCCCAATTTACTTGAAGGCGCAAAGCAATTATTACATGGCGGGGGAGCAGGGAGGGGGCAGCATTTTTGCAGACTGCCAATCAGTTTAAGTCTCTATGGCTCAATGTTGGATACTCAGCACCTGGCATCATGCCTTTATGCTGGCAGCAACTCAATAAGCTTTGGCAAATATATGAGCCTGAAAGGGCTTTTCCAAAACTATGGTTTATCCCAGGATGCTGAGTTTAAAATTTCTTAGTGGAGATTTGACAAATCTGAGGTCTAGGAAGCAAAATAAGAAATAGCTTTTAAGCTCTTACCAATGAATACATTAAAAAGGGTATAGCTTTCTGCACTGTTTTTGTTTTGTTCAGTATTTCATTGGAGGAATTGCATTTCCTCACTGTTTGGTTATGCTTTTCATATTAATACTATGTTCTCAGCAGTACTGGGAATAGTGCCTGGAAAAGGGCAGGAAAGTGGAGGAGACTGACTGGTGGAGTGAGTTTGTTCTCTGGCACCCCGTCCCCAGCTATCCAGATGAAGTGCTTCAGCACTGTCACATGAGCACCACAGATTTTGCACTGTATAGTAGTGGCATGTGTTTGTGTTGTGGGGAGGATGGGTTTCCCTTCTTTACCTGATCCTTTAATTCTGACAGCTGGCCGGAAAGATTTGTGACAAGCTTCATGGTGGACTCCAGCTTCTCCTGCAGGTTTCTCAGCTCATTCTGTTCTCCCTCAGCATCACTGCTGACCAAAGACATGGCTCTCATTCTGGGGAACCAGTCAAGGTTTCTTTCCTAGAATCCACATTGAAAAAAAAAAGGGGGAATTATTTCTAAAGGTAGAAACAAGAAAGGCTCTCTTACCATGTCATCTTCCACGTGCAAAAGTAACATGCTATGTATTTATTTAACTGCTCAATAATGATCTTTTTAATTGAACATAATGCAACTCTTAATTCTTAGAAAAGGAACTCGCTGTAAAATTAAATATAGGGTACAAGTAGGTTTCCAAATTAGAGTCCTAACTGCAACTTTGAATACTGCTATGGTGGCTCTGATCTTTGCAATGAGTTTTGTTTTAAATTGGGGTAAAATATGCATAAGAAAATGTAGCAATTCTTAAGTGTGCAAGTTCAGTGGCGTTAAGTACATTCACATCCCTGTGCAACCAGCATTTTCCATTTCCCAACTGAAATCCCATCCCCACATCTCCACCTCTGGCATCCTACTTTCTGTCTCTGTGAATTTGACTGCTCTATTGTCCTGTGTAGTTTATAAAGCATTATACTGAGGAAGCCATTTGCAAACACTGGTAGTAAAATGAATTTTAAGATTCCAAGTATGGCATTTTAATGGGTGTGTGTGGGGGTTTGCTTGGGTAAGGGGACGGTTAAAGGCTCAACTGATTTCCCAGATTTGAGTTTATAGAAACCACTACTGTCCTTTCACCCAGAAACGGTTGATGGGTGCTGTCCCCTGGTACAAGGCAGGCCTATTCAGCTACCTGCTCCTCCCTATCCTTCTGATGTCACAGCTCATGCCTGGGAACAGTATTTCTCACTGCTGGTTAGCAAAATGGGACTCTTCCTCCTAAAAAGCATGCCTACAGCTAAGTCCTGGACAAAGAGACAGGAATGAAAAAAAGCCTAGTCAGCATAAGCCACAGGAAAAAAACTGACTCATTTCAGATTGATCTCATATCACCTCATCAGGACCATTTCCATCACGTCAAGAAAAACAGACTTTCAACAAATCATGCCCCAAACACACACAAAGATCTCAGTATTGTTGCTTTGTATATATTACGTATGGGTCAGCACCACTTTTTTGTACAGTCAATGTTTTCTTCTGTCTTTTTTTTCTCTTGGTGGTATTGGGGTTTGAACTCAGGGCCTTGTGCTTGCTAGACAAGTGCTCTACCACTTGAGCCATGCCCCCAGCCCTTTTTACTTTAGTTTGTTTTTGATAGGGTCTCATACTTTTGCCCTCTAACCATAATCCTTCTATTTCAGCCTCCCAAGTAGCCCATCCTGCCAACCCGGTATAGTAAATATTTTTGGCTTTGTGGACCATATATCTCTGTTATAACTACTCTGCTACTCAGTCCCCCAAACAGCCACAGACCCTATATAAAGAAACAGATGTGACTGCATTTGGCTGATGGGCCAAAGTTTGTCAACATCTGCTGTATATAAGAAGGTATCAACATACTTAAAATAAAAAACAAAATTCCATGAGAAAAGTTTAAGTATTACACGTCAAGTGTGATCGCTAAATGGTCTTGCTCTAAGGTGATCTCGCAATGTAGAAGCCATAGAAAAACTAGCTGTGCAGTATTGCGAAGAAAGCATACCACTCTGGCAGCACAGCATCACATCTACTTTGGAACAGTGTCTAAGACTCTGGGAGAGACCAGGAACTCACTGTCCATTGTATCATGAGAACTAGAACCACCTTTGTGTAGTGACTAGAATCTGCAGACATATGGTCACTATTTGAGGAAAGATGGAGCGAAGCTCTGTTTTCCTGCATGGATCCTGATAACACATGCTTAAATAGTAGGGCTGGGTTCCTTACAATGACTGCTGGAGGAGAAAAACACAGTGCTGAGATAAGCACTTCACTAGCACAAGACTTCATGCCTGACTACACTCATTTACATCAGTTTCCCACGATAGTGTCGTGGGCAAAATGGGGTATCAACAGGATACTCCATTTCTGTTTTCTACCACACAGGCACAGGGATCTATGACTGATTAGACTCCATTCATCTGCCCACCAGGAAATATCCCGTGTTCAAAGGCCTATGCAAGGCTGAGGAAGGACCGAACATAATTTTCCAGAAGAGAGCAATGGCTGGTGAACAGTCCTTCCCACTAGGTTTTACCAGCTCCTGTGAAGGGGGGAGAGATGGAAAGGACTGGACTGATCAAGCCATGAACCCAAAGCTGTGGAGAGAGCCCACAGAAGGCTAACCCAGCCATCAGAGGCCCTGGATACCAACCATGACTGCTACAAATTTTTGCAGACCAATCACAGAAGAGGATAGCAAGTTGAAGAAAACAAGATCCAAAGTCCCACTTACACTGTCAAACTCTAAAGAGCCACTGGGCTGTGAAAGAATGTAACACCAGAACAGTTTACAGATAACTAATTATATATATGAAAATAAAATGTAGGGAATTGAGGCTCTGAAAGGGATGATGACTTGTCAGGTACACATGGGACTAAGAAGGTCCTAAGAATTATCTGGTGCTTGCAAATCATAAACTGTAACTGAGTATAATTTTGGGGGGAGGTGGGAAATACTTGACAGTTATTTCAAATAAGTAAAAGTATTTTAAAAATATTTATAACAAATTCAACAACTACTTCAGGAGCCCTTCCTTCACATGCTTGGTGCTGAGGATACAGCAGTGAGCCACACAGACAGGGTCACTGCATTCTGGACCTCTTTAAGAAGTGGCTTGAACACCTAAGTAGGAGACAGGGCTCCTATCAGCCAGGTTCCTGCATGGACACCTAGGCAGGAGAAAAGCAGCTCAGAGGTGTCAAATGAGTGGTAGACAGTGATATCAAAGACAGAGCCAACTCCAGGGATTGGTTGGCTAGAAACCCCTGTGCAAAAGGCATGGGCCTGAAGAGGGTCAGAAGTTTGCTCTGGTGGGGGCAGGCCTGAGGGTGTCCTCTATTCAGAGGGTATTGGTACAAGGCTGGATTTGCTGATGAGGGCAGACGGGAAGGAGCAGCTCAAACTATAGCTGTGTAAGTGACATGAGGGAGGGACAGGAGTGAATGGCAAGGCATGAAATGAGAACAGAAAGATAGGGAAGGGAGAGGGCTAGGTGGGGAGCCCTGCACGCTGAGTTAGCAAATAACCAGCACTCACCTGTAGCTAGTGTATTACTGACATGCGAATATATGCTTTGAAGCCTAAAATGTTAGTGAATTCATCTAAAATCCGGCTCTCAAAACTCTCACATGTTCATTTGCTTAGCAAACCCTCTATAAAAATAGAAAACACAGATTTCCAAACAGAGTCCACATGGATGAGGCCTTCAGAAGATCCGTGCATGAATCTGTGCGTAGATTCAAGTTAGAGAACAGTATCTTCTCCTAATTCTAATACGAATGACTGCATGATGACATTCAAATGAAGCTTTCTGTGGCAGATTCCCACCTTTCACAGCATATGTGATTCCCCCACCCCCACTCCTGGCAGTGACTTCAGAAAGGTCTTTGAACAAATGCAAAACGCACAGACTTACTCCACTGGAGAGCTCTTTACAACTTGTGCCCAGGTCAGAGCTGAGTGCTGAGGACGTGAAGAGGAGAAAAATGAGCTCTGCCTGGCAGGTGTGTGGGCCATGGTCTGGCGCTCCCAGGTATGAGAGCTGAGTGTACAGAGGGGGCATTAGGAGAGCTGCATTTCACCTCAGTGGTGAGGGAGAGGCAGTGAATCCTGTGTGTTTTTTCCCCCTTTCCTTTTGCCTCTACATTTCGGATTCCTGTAATCCTGGGACATGAAGGCCCTGCCTAAGGAGCACAAAGAGCCACAGACAGATTAATGCATCTTTTTAGAATGCTCATTTTAGTTGATGGTAAATGACTGAACGTTAAAAAAAAAAAATGCTTGGGGCAGAACAAACAGGAAATTGAATCCAGCTTTTAAGGTAAAACCCACCACTCCGGAGAAAGATTACTCACGCAGGCCACCCTGGGACCTAGGCTCGGACCCTAGGGATGAATCTACATTCTCATTTCCCAGGAGGCCTTCAATGCAAAAGTAGGTGAGGGTCCCCAGGTAGAGATCTTTACCAGTCATCACGGCTATGGGTTCTCCTAAATTTCTAATAATGAAAAGCTGGGAGTAAGAGGGTCCCCACTAGGATTCTAACCCACACAGAACAAACTCACAGTTATCTCCTGCAGAGGAATGGGTAGCTCCCCAAATTTGAGATCCTAGGTGTTGCCAGTATTTTAATTAAATAATCACCTGGGCTGTTAAGTTAAATCTCAGATTACCTAGTAGTTAAAATTAATTAGCTGTTCTCCCAGTTTTCAGTTGGATCTGCGCCCTGCTCAGTAGGGTAAGCTCCAGTGTGGTGTGATGTTCCTACCAACAGGACTACCCTCTGCAGAGAGAGTCTTCATCCTGAAATTAAAATGTTTAGACTATTCCAATCACTGGTGTAGGAGCAGAGGGAGAATACATGAATCCTGTGACTTTCTATTCAGCTAAGATTTTCTTTCAAAGTGCTGAGTTTGTCTGTGTGCTAAATTACTCCAGCAAAGCCTGTCACCCACGGCTCTTCACCAGCCAGTGTGAAGGCCCAGCAGTGTTTGCATAATCTTGCGTGGGGTTTATTCAAAACCATGTCTCACTGTCTTGGCTTCTACTGCATTTTTGGGGAAAGTCATCTTCAACATTTTGTTTATAAATGAATTCATCTTGGGGTGAGCCAGTGTGTATGTGGTCAGAGGGAGAGTGGGGGGACCTTGGGGGTCACAGAGCATTTGTCACTTTGGGTCTGAGACATCCCTTTTCCCTTCCCTAACTCTCCTTGCTACTGGCATCTCACATGCCAATGTCATGAGGCACTGTCTACCCCAGTCCTCCTACAATCCAGCCAGGCAGTTCCCGTCACTGCAAGTGCTTCCTCTGTCAAAGCAGACAAACTAACTGAAGCCACAGCCGGAAGCAGGCTGACCACAAGTGCTAAGGTTCTGGTTAGTTTCTTTTCTAGGTAAAGTTGGAAAAGTCCCTGCTAGGGCAAACACTGAAGTTTTAGATA